AAGATTGGCAGGGATCGCCTCCTTGGTGGGGATCAGCTAGAAGTCGTTCGAAAATTCAACTACCTGGGAAGTTGTATCAACGTCCTTTGGATCGAACACGAGATCACGAACCGTATTTCAAAAGCTCGAGGTGCTTTTGCTAGTTTTCGTCACCTATGGCGGCGGCGCGACATTACTCTTGCCCTGAAGGGTAGAGTGTACGATGCAGCGGTACGTTCGACCTTACTGTACGGTTTCGAAACCTGGTCCCTAAGATCAGCGGACACAGAGGGGCTAGTTACGTTCGATCATCGGTGCCTTCGCAATTTGGCTCACGTCTGGTGGGAACACCGCGTAAGTAACGAGCGTGTTCCACGCCTTGTTTACAGCACAGAAAAGGGAACTGAACCGCTCAGCTCTGTCATTTCACGCACCAGGCTCCGATGGCTGGGCCACGTGTTGCGCATGCCAGCCCACCGACTTCCGCGACGTGTGTTGTTTGCGCGCCGGGGGTGTGGATGGAAGAAGAGGAGGGGTGGCCAAGCGATGATTTGGTCCAGAAGAATGAAGGCCTCACTTCGAAGCTGGCCTCGGTTGGAGCGTCACGGCTCCTTGGTTGGGGTCCGAAAGACGGTGAACACGTTTAGCTGGATACACTTGCTGATATGGCAAGCAGCCGACCTCAGTGGCGTTCGTGCTGTGAGTTTCTTTGTCCCCCCCCCCTCCATCTACGATCTCATTTCGTATCGTAAAACAATAATACTTATTTTTACCTAGTAGCAGGCTGGTAGCTTACCGGAACGATGCCCATTCGTTTCTGGTAGCTCAGCTCGCATGCAACTGTTGTATTTATTTTCCTTTATGTATTGCGGCACAATTGCTGAGGTGTTTCCAACCTCTAGCTGACGGGTATAATGATGATGATGATTATCATTTTGATGACAAAAGTGCGAATTTTGGCGCATTGGTGTCGGAAATTAATGCAGGTTTTAGTGTGAATGAGTGGCATCCAGACGACAGAGAAGGCGAGTAAGTTTCGCAAATTGCGTGAACGTTTGATTTGGGAGCTTATGGGATGCCACTCCAAGCGTCACCAACAGAAGTGTCTTGCTGACATTCAATGAGACTAAAAGATCACTTGTTCTGCTGCGAATCGGCAAGTCTACCGGTGCAGATGTGATGCGCCTAGTAGGCTGGCATGCGTAACATGTGCTCGAACCATCGAAGCCTGGATCGTGAAATAACGGTGCTGACCCGTTCATTTACTCTTCCTGCGCCGTAAACGAGTCAACGGAAATGCTCATCGTTAACACGGTGTTCCCACCAGATATGAGCCAAATTGCGAAGGCACCGGTGGTCAAACGTAACTACGCTCACTGTGTCCGCTGATCAAAGAGGCCAGGTCTCTCAACCATACAGTAGGGTCGAACGTACCGCTGCATTGTACACTCTACCGTTCGGGGCGAGAGTGATGTCGCGCCGGCGCCATAGGTGGCGAATGTTTGCATAATCGTCTCGAGCTTTTGCTATACGGTTCGTGATCTTATCTCCATCCCACGGGCGGTGATACAACTTCCCAGGTAGTTGAATTTTTCTACGACTTTAACTAATCCCCACTAAGGGTCAGCGCAGGAGGCTGTCCCTGCCAATCTTCGAGGGTGCAAAGTAACGGACGGCCAGTGATAATCTGTCCAGTGCAGCTTGGCACGTTTGTGAGCTGTCACAGATTGCGGCAATATCATCCGTATACTCCAAGTCAAGACGTCGTTAACTTGGGAGCAGATCCACACCTAAGCCTTGTTCTGTGAACGCGATTTCCATGATTTCATCAGTAGCGAAGTTGAAGAGGAAAGGTGACAACGGGCATCCTTGTTTCACACCGCTGGAGATATTGAAGGGGACGACAGATTGCCGTAAGCCCTCACTCTGCTTGAGCTACACGAGCATAATGCTCGGATAATATTCGCATATTTCTCGGGCACAACTTTCCTGAGTAGACAGTCCCAAAGGGCACGTCTCTCCACCAAATGGAATGCACCTTTGATGTCGAGGAACACAACAACGGGGGGCCGCCAATATGTGTGAGGGTGCTCAACAACTGAAGCAAGGTGAAGATATGGTCGATGCAGCCACGAGCCCGATGAAACCCGGCTTGTTTTTCACGAATCTGGCTTTCACGAGTGTCAGTCAATCTGGGAAGGATTATAGAGGCGAATAATTTGGAGGCGATTGAGATCAGACTGGTTCCTCTATGGTTGCCGCATTCCGAACGCGAGCCTCCTTTGAAGGTGGGAACAATAACGGAGCAGCTCCAGTCGGTTGGGACAGTCTCCTGCTCCCACAGTTTCACTAGCAATTCATGTAAATCATCAACAAGAGCAGAGCCTCCGAATTTGAAGAGGGCTGGATGAAGATCATCTGGTCCCGCGGCTTTGTTAAACTTCAACAGTCCGATCTCACGTTCGACTTCTGAGCGAGAGGGTGGATCCAAAGGGACAGCCCACGGAGCAGGGCGGTCACTGGCCAGCGAAGAATAGAACAATTCTAGCCGATTAAATTGCCTTCCAAAATGCTCAGCCCAACGTTCCAAACGTTATGACAAATTGTGGATAGGCTATCCACTCTCGTCACGTATAGTTTCACTAACACCAGGTCTCCTGCTGCCCATTCCCCGTATAAGACAGAACAACTTCCGATGATTACCAAGAGCAGCGGCCACTTCCAACTCTGACGCACGAAGAGACCACCAGGATTTGCGGTCGCTCTTTAGGCTAGCACGGAGTTTTTGACCGGAGTCTTCTGAGAGTCTCATTGTGTTCGCTTCCAGCCGTGATGTGCTGGCGAACTTTGATAAGTTCCAGAGACTACGAAGAGACTCAATGACTATCTTGGCTAGTGGATTTACCACATGATGATTTAGGTGCTTCAAGTAAGGTCTGGTGAACATGCGACCAGTGACCTTTAACTGTATCCAGTGAGCGCTTACTCACCACGCATGTCAGCGTACTTTGATAGCTCTGCAGAACAGCTGGATTCGTCAGTTGGCTGGTGTCTATGTGCTCACAACGTCGTCTTTGGCGTCCGCCAAAACGCATCCGCAGGTCAGCACATACAAGTGCATGATCATCGTCCACACATGTGCTCCAAATTGAGCGACAGTTCTGGATGCAGCCTCTCCAGCGGTAACTTATCGTAATGTGATCAAATTGCGTCCAAGGCTGGTTCGAGTCTGATGGGTGCCAAGTCACCCTCCGGCTGTGTCGGAAATTAGTGCTCGCAAGAAATAAGCGGGCATCTTGACACAAATGAAGTAACCACTCATCGTTATCATTACGGGAGCCTACACCGTGCTGACGGCCCAGATGCATTTCATCAGTGGACAATTTTCCAACTTGTGCGTTCATATCCCCCGCCAGCGCAACAGTATTCGAGCTTCTTTTGTGGTGAAGGAGATGGGTCAGTTGGCGGTAGAAGTCGTTCTTAAGCGATTCATCGCTACAGGTTGTGGGCGCGTAAGCAGCGATGATGAATAGACAGCTATTAGTTCTGCGCGACTTCGAAGCTTTGAACGAGCCATTTAATCGGACCGCACACATCCGGCTACTGATTGCAATCCAGTCAAGCAGAGCAGCTTCAGCTCGGGGACTCAGGGCAATGCCAACACCAGCTTGGCCGGTGCTCGAAGCTGCATCGTCACCGGATAGGCGCAATGAGAAAATACAGCTTGCGTCACCTGAAGGGGATCGCAGAGTGAGCACAGAGCTCGAGTCTTGCAGGCGGGTCTCCGATAAGCAGCAGATATCGATCGAGAGGGTTTCCAATGTTCGGGCAAGTGCTGCCTGTTGACCGATCTGGAGTAATGTGCATACATAGAGGCATGCCAATCTGAAGGAGGATCGAGGGCTCCAAAGGGAAGCTGATGAACTGGAATGGACCGCTTGGTTGGACATGGGCTTGTCGACAGGAGAGGAATGACGCTCCGTGTTAGCATGTGTTGAAATTAGAAGGTAAACGCCCAGCAAAGCATGTTGGGGGAGGGCCAAGAATGGGGGGGGGGGTTGAAAACTGGGGGGATAAAAGTAAAGTTGGAACGGGACGGTATGAGTAAAAAAGCGGGATGGCTTGAGCAATAGCATCCAAATCCCTATCCACCCTGCTCGATGCAGCAGATAGGGCATCGTTGATTATCCTCTGCGGTGGACAGAGAATCAAGAAACTGTTGGAAGAGAAATTCATAGTATTCCGTGGGCAGGATAGTATCAGGTTGCCCAAGCCTAGATAGGAGAACGATTAGGGTTCTCAATCAGTCTTTGGTTTAAAAACCTTACCGCAAGGCAGCGGGTTTGGCGTTGGGGGTACAAGGAGCCCGTTTTAAGGAATAAGGTGCCACCTTCATTCCAACCCCCAACCTGGAGGACCAGGAGGCTGAGTTTGTCTGGCATCTAACCATTGACCAATCTGGTATGAGTGACTCTGAAGGTGCAAAAGCACCACCCAGCATAGCTCAATGGATTCCTGAGGCAAACAAACCATCGCACCACGGTAAGGTCCAGCCTCATTGCGATGGTATCAACCTGATACTGCTACTAGCAATAAAATATGATGGAATTCGAAGTTTGTCGTCACCTCTCCAACCAAGAACTGACTATAACCACCAGAAGTAGATTTCACAACAGCAGACATGGTGAAAGAACTCATCATAATGAATACAAAATAAAACGCGGTCCCTTACAACGGAAGACTGCACAGAACGGAGGAAAACGGGTAACCTGAAATTACATGTTATCGTTCTTAGCCAACGGTTAAAAATGCATTCATCAAACAAAGCACAATGTGCAACAATGTTTGTATCTCTTTTGAGCCCGTCCATAAAATTGGCGCGAACTAGGAGACCTCGAGGTAAGCCTTGGATCATGATTTCAGCTAACTAATCTCGGAAACCGTAGACAATTATTGACTTCCTTCCGCGGACACTTGCTGAGGTAAAACACAAAGCGAAAATCTCAACACCACATGCTTACCCGCTCTTCGCACATCTTGAAATGCCTTTCTCGTTCCGCTCTCTCAGCATCAATCTCCGCCTGTGCTTCTAATTTCGCCTCTTTCAACCGCTTTGCTTTACCTATAAATAAAATAAATCAGCACAGAAGTCTGCCAACTGAACACATATTATAGACGCTGTGTATGAGCGCAAGTTAAGCAACCAAGTGTCCGATGGATAAAGACAACGAAAGGCACTGTTCCAACTGTTACTTTTTGGCGAGAAGACCTGCAAGAACTCCAACATCGCGATGAAACGATACATTAAAGAAGTGCGACAGCATGCGTAGCTCGATGGGCAACAGAACTGCAAGCAGGGTGACACATTCGAGCGCGATCCCAAATGCATCATAGCTAGACCAATAGTGACGGATAAACCAACCTCAGTAACCAATTACACTTTGAATGGGAAGTTGGAGAGGTCGAGTCCTGGTTCGTTCGAAATGCGGATACGATAGGAAGTACCTTACGGAGTGTAAACACAGTTCTATTGGCGCATAGTACGAACTCCATGAGCCTTTTATCATGGAGCCAATTCATATCCGGTGGTTTCCAGAAGCTAGACAGCGCCGACTCAATGGCGCGCAAACTCATTAACCTTGCACGCGATTTCTTGTTGCCGAAGATGCACAATCTAGTGCATTGCAAAAGCGTAGTCTACCTTAAGAATGCTCAGGTAAAGAACCATGAAGCTACCCAATCACATTTCTAGGATGTGCATGTGCCACAGTATCCAGTGCGTAAGTCAAGTGAATCAGTCCACAGAGGTGGAGGATTTCGGTGACTTTTTCTATACTGCATTCCATGACATGTTTCTTCCTGGTTTGAACTCATCAGTGCAGATGGCCTGAGATGGGAGTGGAACTCCGCATAGAATGGTTGTCGACTATCATCACGATCACTAGATTATTGGGCTCTGCAAGCACACTTGACACAGTGGTTAGAAGTTGTTTTGAAAACCCGTCATTTGTTTTGGATCGCGGCACACAATCCCAATTGTGTCGTCAGTTGACTTTGAAGTCAGTCTCTGCCAATCCGATTACTGGGACCTCCACTCCGGTGACGATTACAGTGATCGGATTGACTGAAGCTGACTTCAAAGTCAACTGAGGTTACAAATGGGATTGTGTGTCGTTATCCAAGACACACGGCCGGTGCTCCAAAACCCGAAAATCAGTTCACATCGAACCAATCGGTCCCCTTCGGGCAAGCGGGCGTTTGGCGAGAATAATGTGGCAACAACTCCATCGCACTTACACCCCTTCTTCTCTGCTTATCTTTCATGATGATAGCAAGTACAAATCAGATGACGATGTCTGGCCTAAAGAAGTCACGACTTCACTACACAGCAGTTATGTCCGCATAGCATTCGAAGACTGTGCGGGCGCATTTTGATTAATAATGAGTAGAAGAATTTGTGATGAAAATTTATTGGCTCGTCCCAGCTTGCAAGCTATGACGGTCTGCCACCGTCCCCATGGCTAAGTAGCATAAGCTGTTGGAGGTTTGGCAAAAGCTGCTTGCTATCATGAGTTCGGTTCGCCGAGGCGACCTAGAGAATGCGCATCGTTGCTGAGCCCAAACAGGGCGAAACAATCGTTTGGTGCTCATCCAAATTGGGAGTTAGACTATCCGGCTTGTGAGCTGCCGAAACGAACCAGTAAAACTGCATCAAAAATCCTTCTACTCAGCAATATGACGAGGAGTTTTGCAAAAGCAAGACAAACACAACTGCGCTTTCGTCGAAATCGTCTCTTGCAAACCAACAGATAAGGTCTGTGGCCACAAGTACCTCAAATGAAACCAAAGCTGTTTAGCAGTAGAGAAATTCGCACAAAGCGCTCAGAAAACGTGCTGTGCGATCTAACATATCCGTCAAGGTTAACAGTTGATTGCAACAACGCAGAAGATAGCCCAAAACTTTCCAACAATTTGGATCATCAATCAGAGTTATATCTGCGCGACGCTAGTCAACTGCAAAGTATCTACAACGTTTCAGCCTGAAATTAGAAGTCACAATTAAAATCTCATCCGGTATATATTGTGCTGGAGCGTTGGTCGAAGCAACGCAACCTCGTCTCAAATGGTGGGATGACAGTCCAGTAAGATAGAAACGTCGAACTTGGTCACCAATCCGAAGAATCGTTTAAACCACTAAGTTGCTTTTGTGGCGATTCAGTCCATCGTGCGTCCATTCTACGAGTTGACTTCGTTTCGAAGCTTGGAATGGTATATATGTGCTTCTGTATCGAGCAGTCGATGTCTCGGTTTGTTAGATAAGCTCATCTAAACTTTGGCGAAGACGCGCATTTATCGCCGAATAAATCCACTATTTATTGCTCAAGTTTGTACTCAAAACTGACAAGAAGTCTTCGCAAACACAGCAAAAAAGGAAACGAAATACATAAAATGATTTTTCGGGTTGTACACAAGCCGTTTTAAAGCGGACTGATAGGTCGGATCGCGCGTGCGTCACGAAGTTACTTAGCGAAACCGAGCTGGGTGATTTGCGAGATGCAGTTTTGTCAGACCCGCGACTACTGATGATACACTTCTCAAAGATATATGACTTCGCTACCTCGTACCCGAGATGTGTAACGTGCTCTAGGCTAATGTAGATGCGTTACTATCCAAGCAAGCCGACACGAATGACCGTGGTTTGGAATCCTACAGCGGAATCACGCACATTCAGTCACCTACGGAGAACAATATGACGCAATTAGCATATTATCGCTAGGATGAGTAGATGTCTAAGGGGAAACATAGAAAGTACAGATCCAGAAGACGATTTTCTTCTTTGAGGCATAAGAAACAAGATTAAAGCGGCCTTGCACGCCACTTCTCCTTCGCTAGTATTTGGCTGCACTCAGCATTTACTTGGTGAACTTGTCTCACTAATAGCCCCGACAAGTTTCGACTATGACGATAACACCTCGCCTATCCCACTACATGTAACAGTTTCAAGCTGTGAAACTCAGAGCACAGAGCTTTCGTTCCAACGCAGACGAGCACCTTGTTACTTGCAATCACGTATTCATTTGCACTGACAGTGTAATCCGGCAACTCCAATCCCCCTATTCGGGCCCGCACCGTGTCGTATCCAAAAACAGACAAGATATTTCCCACTGAGCACAATAGTAAAACTGTGATGATATGTAGTGATCGACCAAAACTCGCATTTCTTGACGATTCAGACTCACCAGTAAAACATGCACTTCAACCTGCGTTACCACAGCCAACACCGGAACCTCAAACCAGTCGCTATGCTCTAGCGAAACCTCTAGCTGCAGTCGACCTCATCTCTACTCGACAAAAGTCGAGACAAGTCAGCCCTCCCAGTGCGTCTTAAAATTTTTCAGGCATTTGTTATTTTCCCTGGTGGGTACCATTCACATTGCAATGTTTCGTTTTCATGGTCCTACAAACGTTTTTCAAAATGAACAGAAAAGAAAATGGTTTTGAAGTTGCCAAAAAGAACAAAATCTGTTGAAAAGCCAAAAGCTACGTCGCACGTTTTTTAGCAATACATCCTTTTGTGTATGGCTATTCACTTAAGCCGCTTCTTTCCATTTTGCTTCCCATTTACACACCGTCGGTTAGTTGCCTCTTGGATTCACGTTTCGCTGGATCCCCGCACCACAACCAGTTACAACGAACTCCTCGTCCAGCCAGCTACTCGAACTTTACGAGTTTCCCCATCAATAGCGTTTTTCTCGTTTTGGCACAGTATGGAGGACACGGGTTGGAGCCTTCTAGGATCCAATCGCACTGGTGTTCCCTCAACAGCTGCATCAAATGTAGTCCACACCACCACCTCCCCCACTGAACCGGTGTGGCGGCCTGGTATCGCAGAATGCTGGCTGGCGACTGATAATCTTCACGTAGATCGAAGAACTGCTTAAACCGTCCGTTCTTGAATAAAGCTATATAGTAGTCTGGAGATTTCCTCCGATTTACTTGAATGCGTCGTGTATAATCCTAACTTCTTCTCACCTTCGGATGGTGCATGCGCATTTGTTTAATTCTAACTAAATTACAAGTTCACTGTATCCAACGCAACGTGACTGGACCTAACCTTGGCGCGATGGTTTGCGTGCCTCCCTGATGCACTGAGCTAGGCTGGGTAGCACTTTCCAAATGCTTTCAAGGCCAATCATATCAGCTAGGCCAGTGGTTAAGGTTCGGAGAAACTCAGTTCCATCATCCAATCATCTCCGAAATTTTAGGAATTTGATTGCTCTCCTCCATTAAAATCTAACCATGGAAGACAGATTTACGGGTTATAAGCTCACAGCTAGATTGGCGTAGAACACGGGCGCCATTTATTATTTTTGACGGTGGGACAGCATCGGCCGGTGCTCAGCTGTTTGATACCGCTCGCTTTAAACCAGACAGACTCTGGTCAAACTGGTGAAAACCCGCCAATTACACATGCGGCTGGCGGTGGTCGCAGGTGCGTAAAGTAATACAGCAATAAAACACATTCATTCTTCTAAATCGTCAAAGGCTGTGTGTGACAAGCCTCAAGCAGATCTAAATAGGTCTCTGCAATCAGACTCAAAGAGCTGGACTTGCTCCCCACAGTTTCGGGGGTCAGGCTATTGAGCAAAGGGCTCCTTGTGGATGTCCCACAAGCGGACCTCCATTACCCCACTGCTTGTGGGTCAGATTATTGAGTATCATGTCTTCTCGACTCCGTCGACAATACTCACACTTTTTCTCTTGTGTTTGGTTCTACTCCCTTTTCTCTTCTTCCCCCTCTAATGAGCAAGAGACTACCGCTGACCCCGCAGTTGCCGCCATCGATATATATAGCTCGTCCATCATACTTAATCTCTTTTCACATCAGTTCTTTTGACGTCCGCATTCTGGGTCAGATCGGCAAACAAGCAGCATTTACTCTCGCTCTTCACTCTGCATCTATGTGTGCTGTGGCTCCGAAACACACATACAAGATAACTGCGCTGTAACGAATCTTCGACTCCACGGTTCTAAATCTAACAATGAACATATACACTCTTCGCATCCCTGGCGACAGTGAGGCAATGGCTCAAGGCATTTACCCTGTAGGCATCACCCTAA